TCGCCTCCCTCCTCTCCCTCTTTCCTCCCTCTCTTCCCCAGCACTCCCCTTATCTCCTCCCCATCCCCTCCTCCCTCGCTCCCAGCCGCCCTTCACAGCCCACCAACCCTCCTCAGCGCCGTCAGCCGCGCTCGTTCACCCAGTGCACCCTAGTTTGTGCTGGGCGACTCGCTCGTCAACCCATTGAGAGCGTTGCTCATCTCCCCCCTCTCCCCCCCTCTCGTCACCCTCTCCTCCCCCTCTCACCCTCTCCTCCCCCTCTCACCCTCTCCTCCCCCTCTCACCCTCTCCTCCCTCTCTCACCCTCTCCTCCCTCTCTCACCCTCTCCTCCCCCTCTCACCCTCTCCTCCCTCTCTCACCCTCTCCTCCCTCTCTCCCCACACCCAGGAGCTCTATGCACCCCCTTGAGTCTCGCCCGCGCGCCCATCGCCACCCTCTTTGTGGTGGGCGACTGGTGGGCACCAGGGGATGAACAGCCACGAGGCACTGCACTCATACCTCCCTCTTTGCTTCGTTGTCCCCTTCCCGCTCGCCAATGCACTTCCTCACACCCTTCAGCCGTCCTCAGCGCCCTGAACCTCGCGCGCGCGCGCATGGCGGCGCTGTTTGTGTTCGGGGACTCGCTGGTGGACGTGGGCAACAACAACTTCGGCTCCAACCGCTTCCTGCGCGCAGACATGCCGCCCTACGGGACGAACTACATTGAGGCGTCGGGACGCTTCTGCGATGGCCGCCTGCAGATCGACTACCTAGGTGCGTGACGGCGGCGGTGTGGCTTGGGGGTACTGCTGGCGTTGAGATGTGAGAACTCAAACGATATACTGGGCTTCATACCTGGGCTGGGCCGTTGGGTGTCAGCTGACCGGTGTGCGGCCATCCCCCCCGCCCTCCGTTCTGATGCATGCCCCTCGTGCGCCACAAGCCCAGCCTGTTCCCCTTCCCTCCACCTCACAAAAAGTATCTCTCTGCCCGGCCCTGAATCTGGGGCCTCCTCCTTGTCCCATGCTTCATGCTCCTACATGCCCTCCCCGCTCTCCTCCCCATCCATCTCGCATCCCTCCTCCCTCTTGCTTTCATGCCCGCCCGCCCTTCCGCTTACCTCTCCCTTCTCTCTCATCCGCCCCCCCACATCTCTCGCTTGCAACGTGGGTCGGCTTGTCCCTCAGCCCGTGCTGCATTCTGGGATGAGTGGAATCTGAACTCTCTCCCGCCTCTCTTCCCCCACTTCCCACGCCTCCACCGTGCTACCCGGGTCTGCCCTCCCCGCCGCCTGTGGCTGCTGCTGGGTCGAAAGGCTGCTGCTGGCTTCGATGCGGATGAAAACGCCCCGTCCCCTCCCATCTCACCCCCTCTCCCCGCTCACCCCCAGCGCGCTACTTGGGTCTGCCTTCCCCGCCCCCTGCGCTGCAGCCGGGGCGCAATGCCTCTCTCGGACTCAACTTCGGCAGTGCTGGGGCGGGCGTGCTCGATGGCACCAACCCGGGGCAGGTGGGGCACGGGCAGGTGGGGCGCAGGCAGGTGGGGCACGGGCAGGTGTGGGTGAATTTTATCTGCTGAGTGGGGTGCTGCTTGATGGAACGAGTGGCGTGGTGGTGGGTACACGAAACCAAGGACGCAGATGAAGAGAGTCATGCCGCGGCATGAGTGGTGGCAAGCAGATGGGGCAGTCCTCCTCCGCGCGCTCATCCGGTGCCTCCCAGTCAACCCCTTTCCCCCGCGCTCTGCCCCCCTCACTGCTCGCCTCACACCCCAGCACTTTCCACCCCTTCTCTCCTGTGCTGCTTGCGTGTCCGCCCTCCTGCTCTCGTCCCGCTGCACGCTTCCCGCCCCCCACCCACCATTGCGCCACTGGCGGCCAGACATTCCCGCTGTCCTTCCAGATGGGGAAGTTCCGGGAACTGCACGCAATGGTGATGGAGCAACACACCAGCGAGCGCGGCACTCGCAACAACAACCACACGGCTGCTTTTTCAAATGGTGGTGATGATGGGTACGCGGGAGATGCCGGCAGCGGCGGCAGCAGCAGCAGCGGTGGCGAGGGGAGCCTTCCAGACAAGAGTGTATGTGCGAGGGTTGTTGGCTTTCCTTCTCTGGTCATTCCACGACCCCTTCTGATCTCATTGATGCTTCTCTCTTCTCTCGAGCACCCCCTTTTTTTGCCTGTCAGCCACTGAGTTTCTCCGTTGTTTGCTTCCTTTGCCCCAATCCGTCGTCCTTTATTCCTGACCACGAGCCCGCGTCTCGTAGGTCACCCCGTGGAAAGGCATTACCATTGATGGAGGGAGTCTGATTGGTGGGCGATGGGGCGAAATCTAGGGGTGTAGTTGACGAGGGTAGCGAGGAAAGAACAGATTCGTGAATGGCCTGCGCTGGTGGAATCCTGCGCTGGTGGAATCCTGCGCTGGTGGAATCATGCGCTGGTGCGAGTCAGTTGCGATATTCGAGTCTTGATTCGCGCGGTGCGGACTTCTGCTCGCCCCCTCCGGTTTCTTCACCGAGTGCAACCAGCCGTGGCATCGATTTTTTGTGTGTCAAAACTCAAATCGTTGGCACCCGCCCTAGGGTTCGTTTGACTGTTTTGGTTGCGAGCAGATTTCTGCTCTCGCACGCAGCTGCATGCCCGCACACTCCAGCAGTTGCCCTTACATCGTTCCAAAGGTTCCTTTGAAGCCCGTGGCGAAATACGAGACGAAACAAATTGGATGCAAACAAGTTGTGTTCTCCGCACTTATGGCTTTAATTCGTCCTCCCATCCCACCATGCCTCACTTCTCCCCTCATCTCTCGCCTACGTTTCCCATTCCCTCTTCCTCTCCCTATCCCCCTCCCAGGTCCTCGCCTCAGCACTGTATGTGGTGCAGGTAGGGTCCTCGACTACCTCCACATGCTCGCCTGCTTTGCGCCACTTCACATCGTTCCTCTCTCCCCGCTCCCTCCTCTTCTCCCCTCCCCCTTTCACCGCTCCCTCTCCTACCGTCCACCCTTCACGTCCCTCCCGCTCCCAGGCCTTGGTGTCAGCGCTGTACGTGGTGCAGCTGGGATCCAACGACTACCTGTACCTGCTCTCGCGCCTCAACCTCGCCCTTGTGCCCGCCATCCCCACCTCCAACGCCACGCGCCCTCGCCTCCTCAACACCTCCTCTCTGCCGCCATTGCCTAACACGACTGCTCTGCCGCCCTTGCCAAACACCACTGCCCTGCCGCCGTTGCCATTCGCCACTGGCGCCTCCAGCGCAACGGCCAGTGCGTCCAGAGCACCCGCATTCCCGCGCCTGCGCCGGGCAGTGGGGCGTGTCGCGCAGCCGCTGGAGGAGGCGGTGAGGCGCCCGTCGCAGTCGGTGGAGGAGAGCCTGGCGGCGGTGGGGCGGTTCTCACAGGCGCTGCTGCCCACCATCGTGGCGAGCAGCCAGGGAACTGTCGATGCCGTGCAGGTGAGGGGTTGGGGCGGGCTGGTGAGGGGCTTGGGCGGGCTGGTGAGGGGCTAGGGCGGGCTGGTGAGGGGCTAGGGCGGGCTGGTGAGGGCTAGGGCGGGCAGGTGAGGGGCTAGGGGGGGCAGGTGAGGGGCTAGGGCGGGCAGGTGAGGGGGCTAGGGTGGGTAGGTGAGGGGACAGTTGTTCTCAATGGTCGACTCTCTACAGCCCCTTTTCCCTGAGGCCCAGCCCACGATTGTGGCAGGCAGCCAAGGCACTGTTGATGCCGTGCAGGTGAGGGGATTGCCATGGCTTGAGGATGAGGTGACGGATTGTGAGGCTGTGCAAGTGAGTGCGTCTTGGCTGAGCACCACCTCCGTGCATTCCCTCTATTCCACTTCCCCCCTCCTGCTCTCCCCCCTTCCCCTCCCACCCCAGTCCCTCTACAGCATGGGCGCGCGCCGTTTCCTCGTCTACTTCCTCCCGCCCATCATCTGCCCGCCCGCCCTCATGCAAGCGTTGGGTACGCGCACCTGGACCTCCGCCCTGATCGCCGAGGTGACTTCTGTGTTGACTCAAAAGCCATTCCCCCTTCCCGCTGTCTGCCTCATGCCCCCCCCAGTCCCTCTACGACATGGGCGCGCGCCGCTTCCTCGTCTACTTCCTCCCGCCCATCACGTGTGTGCCCGCCCTCATGCAAGCGCTGGGCACGCGCATGTGCGCTTCACCGCTGAGCGTCGTGCCGCGCGCGCACAACGCACTGCTGGCGGCGGGGCTGCAGGCGCTGCAGGCACGGCTGGCGGGCATCGTGATAATCACGGTGGAGGATGGCGAGCTGGTGACGAGGGCTGTTGAGCAGCCTGAGGCGCTCGGTGGGTTGCAGGCGATTTTGTGGTGGTGGTGGGGGATGATTGTGGTGTGGGGCTTGGGGTGAGGGCTTTCAACGTGGATGAGAATGGCAGTAGGGGGAACTTGGTTGCAAGAGCCATGTGACGATATTGTGGTGAACTGGCTAGCCGGATGGGCAGGGAACGGGTGTGTGGGGAATGGAGGGAGAGAGGTGGGGAGGGCGAGGGAGGTGGCACGGAGTCATGCTCTCACACCTGCGCCTCCTACCTGCCACGTTTCATTCACCACCTCCCCACTCCCTCCACCTCCTCCCATCTCTGCATGCTCTGCCTGACAAGGCATGCTGTGGCGGCCCTCCGCCTCTCAACTGCTTGCTGCCCCGTGCAGTGCGAGCGCGAGGCACTGGTGCCTGGGTGTGCTGTGCGGTGTTCTTCTGAGCTGCAAGCGGTGCCACAACCTTAGCAATGCTCCCTTCCCCCTATCCCGCACTGCAGGCTTCACCTCCGGCCCCGCGGCATGCTGTGGCGGCCCTCCGCCTCTGAACGGGCTGGTGCAGTGCGGGCGCACAGCGCTGGTGGGGGGCAACGCCACCACATACACGGTGTGCAGGCGGCCCGGCCAGCACGTGTTCTGGGACGCCTTCCACCCCACGCAGCGCCTCAACTGCATGCTGGCAGGACAGGTGTGGCGCGGGGGTGCGGCAAGTTGTGGTGATGATGGTGATGATGGGGATGCTGGGGATGATGATGGGGATGATGGGGATGATGGGGATGATGGGGAGGATGATGGGGATGATGGGGATGATGGGGATGATGGGGAGGATGATGGGGATGATGGGGATGATGGGGATGCTGGGGCTACAGGTGGCTTGGTGGGCAATGCTATGAGCGAGGATGATGCTGTCAGTGGAGTTATAGTGCGTCCTGTTGGCCTGAAGGCTCTGGCAAGTTACTTGGCACAGGAGGGTGAATGAGTGAAACAACTTGTGTCTTATCTTCTCACTTGTATGTTTTTGTTATGGAACACTTTGTTACAACTTGTATCTTTCAGTGAACATTTTGATTTAGGCGAGTGTGTTGGTGACGTGTCACAGACTCACAGGCTGCTTGATCCATTTCCGTCCACATGGTGATAACCACCACAACACCGCGTCGCGGCGAGGCACATCAGCGCAATCCAGCATCTGAATTTCACCATAAAGTCGACCACGCAGACATTTGTGGCTCCCATTCGCGCCTCGATCGGAGCGACAGAGCCTGAAGCCCAGTCTGAGGCACTCGCAGTACATCCCCTCTCCCGCTGCTTTCAGCCTAACCACGGTAGGGCGCATTCTCAAACCATTTTTACAACTTGCCAGTGTTCGTGCCAGCATTCCATAGTCTCGCATTCGTGCGCTACAAAAACCATCAATACCAAGAATGTTTCAAATATCTGAGCATTGAGATTGTCATTCTGATAGAACTTCAAACACCTTATAAAAATGACTTCCCATATGTGCACAGATGTTGTAATTTAATATTATTTTCATGATGTTATTATGAAAATTTGCATATGTAACTGCATTTATTTTAAACCACATTTATTGATACGTTTTATTATAATATAATGGTTCTGTAGTAAGTGAAAGTTGAAGCATGGTAAGTATTGGAAACATATCGACGTGAAACAACAATTCTGAACCCGCTCTCAACGAGCCCTCCCCTCCCTCAGTTAGCCTAGTCCAATCTCGCCGGATATGTGGTGTGCTGCTTCTCACCTACCTGCCATAAGCCCCCTGGGGCATGGAGTGGATCGCCTACCCGAAGCTCGTACGTGTGGCACCGCCCATCGTCGCATGGGATAGCTGCTCGCCTGCTTGGTGCACGCAGGCACAGCGCGGCGGTGCATCTTATTGAGCTGCTTGGTCGGAGTTTCAAGCTGCAGTATTGCGGCCAGACTCTCTCCGGAGTCCGAGCACTGCACCTTGTGCGGGCGTGGCTCGTCGTACACCCTTGTTTGCTCTCGGGGATGACCTACCCCGCACTTGCCTCCTCTAGTATAACGCCCCGCCACCACAGCCCGCAGCAGTAACTCGTCGTCAGCGGCCGCGTTGCTTCGCGCAGAGCGCCATTGACGGGAAGCCCAGCGGCGATCGCACCTCGCGCTCGCACCTTTCAGCAGTCGCCGACTGTCTGCGGGGTCTGCTGCTACCAGAAAAAGCGTTCGTTACTGTTCAGAATGTCTACCCTCCGTGAACTCTCGTTACAGTCACTCGGGGCGGCATGCATCCTCCTCGTGCTCACGGCGCACGTCGCGGCGGGGCCAGCCGCCGTCATCCGTCGCGTGGAGTTCGTCTCAGCCGCTACAGCCGCCACAGCCGGCGACAGCAATTGGCGGAATGCACTAGACGCGGCTGTCGTCGCGCCGTCGCTTCCGCCGCCAACAGCGCCGCCTTCGCCACGCGGCCCTTCCGCACCGCGCGGCTCCACGGGGAACCCCTCGGCGAGCGAGTACGGCCCGGAGTTTCCGCCGACATACGACCAGCGTGAGTTGCGCTGCTGCTGTTGCGGCGTGCATGCTCGAGCCCTCAGCATGACTGCTTTGGACCTGAGCCGCGGTAAATCCTAGTGCGCCGCTTTCCGTGCTCGCGCCGGTTTCAGCAGCACATCTGGTCAAGTGAGCCGAGCATCCCAGTCCAGTGGGCCCGCAGCTCGTCCCAATGCGGCCTGATGCGCGTTGCAGAGTGCGCGTGGGCGTGCGACTGGCCGTGACGTGCCTGTGCGTCTGTGCGTCTGTGCGTCTGTGTGTGTGTGTGTGTGTGTGTGTGTGTGTGTGTGTGTGTGTGTGTGTGTGTGTGTGTGTGTGTGTGTGTGTGTGTGTGTGCGGCAGGGCTGGCGCTGGCGGAGCTGCGCGTGGCGATGGACCCCGACGGCGCGGAGCTGGAGTCGTGGGACTCGGACGTGGGGTGGCCCTACTGGATGGGCGTGCATTGCAACGACCGTAACGAAGTCGTCAAACTGTACGCCATATAAGCTACTCTTTCCTTGTCTAAAGAATTGGAGTGATGGGTCTTGGACGTGAGGGGAGGCGTACTGGATGGGCGCGCACTGCGACGACCGCAACGAAATCGTCAAATTGTACGCGATATAAGCCCCAATCACAAGGCTCGTTGACCCTCTCCGTCTGTGGCGCCGTCAATGCAGCTTCCAACCCCTGCGCCTCGCCCACACCTGGACCGCCTGCCCTGACACCGAACCCCGCCCTCCCGTCTGCCGTCCCTTGCACCCCTCGTCCCACTCCCCCCTCACCCGGCGCTGGCGCGCAGGTCGCTGAGCGGCAACGAGCTGAGGGGCAGCATTCCCCCGGGCATCTCCCACCTCACCGCGCTGCAGCACCTGTCAGTCGCCGTGCCACGGGACGCCTGTAGGCTGTAGCACACCTGAGATTTAAGGCGGGACGCCTGTAGCACAGCTGAGATTAAGGCGGGACGCCTGTAGCACAGCTGAGATTTGAGGCGGGACGCCTGTAGCACAGCTGAGATTCAAGGGCAGACGGCTGTAGGACAGCTGAGAGTCAAGGGCAGACGGCTGTAGCACAGCTGAGAGTCAAGGGCAGACGGCTGTAGCACAGCTGAGATTCAAGGGCAGACGCCTGTAGCACAGCTGAGAGTCAAGGGCAGACGGCTGTAGCACAGCTGAGATTCAAGGGCAGACGGCTGTAGCACAGCTGAGATTCAAGGGCAGACGGCTGTAGCACAGCTGAGATTCAAGGGCAGACGGCTGTAGCACAGCTGAGAGTCAAGGGCAGACGGCTGTAGCACAGCTGAGAGTCAAGGGCAGACGGCTGTAGCACAGCTGAGAGTCAAGGGCATACGGCTGTAGCACAGCTGAGAGTCAAGGGCAGACGGCTGTAGTACAGCTGCTCCGATAGTAGTACACGAACTGGGAAAGCGCCTTGGCTTCAGCGGTTCTGGGGCGTTGTCGTTGTGGGGTGTGCGGCGGGCCTTCAATAGGCCGTAGCCATGATGCCCTCTGCGCTGCCTGCCGTGCCATAGTCCATACGCCATGGGGCCGCGGGGCTCGGGGAAAGGTCGTAATGCCGTCTCTCCGCCCCTCCGCTCCCACCACTCTCGCCTGCTTGCCTCCGTCTGGCCCCGCAGGGACGTGAGGGGCAACCACCTGCAAGGCAGCCTCGTCGCCGAGATAGCCATGCTGCCCGCCCTCACCTACCTGTCAGTCCCCCTCACCCGCCTGTCAGTCCCCCTCACCCGCCTGTCGGTCTCACCTTCCTCCCATTTCATACCTGGCCTGGTGACCTGGGCCACTCTAGCCACCGCGCCATGCCCTCCCCGCCTTCGCCTTTCTCAACCGCGTCCATCCCGCATCCTTCACATCGCATCCCACTCTCCCTCCACTGTCACGTTCTCCGCACTACCTCTACACCCTCCCCACTCCTCTACCTGCTCCTCGTTGCGCCTCCACCTTTCCCTTCTCACGTCTTCCCCTCTACACCATCCCTTTGCCCTCTCCTCCCCCCCTCTCTCCCCTGCCGCGTGCCCGCCCCGCCCCCCTGGCCCCCCAGCGACGCGTCGAACAACGGCATGAACGGGTGGCTGCCGGGCGCCGTGGCCAACATGACCGCGCTGCACCACCTGTGCGCCCCGCGCCTCACGCATGCACGCTCCATGCCCCTCCACCACTTGCCGTGCCCCATGCCCCATGCCCCATGCCCCATGCCCCATGCCCCATGCCCCATGCCCCATGCCAGTGCCCCATGCCCCGTGCCCCGTGCTCCATGCCCCATGCCCCATGCCCCATGCCCCAAGCCCCATGCCCCATGCTCCATGCCCCATGCCCCATGCCCCATGCCATGCCCCAAGCCCCATGCCCCATGCTCCATGCCCCATGCCCCATGCCCTATGCCAGTGCCCCATGCCCCGTGCCCCATGCCCCAAGCCCCATGCCCCAAGCCCCATGCCCCATGCCCCATGCCCCATGCTCCATGCCCCATGCCCCATGCCCCATGCCCCATGCCCCATGCCCCATGCCCTATGCCAGTGCCCCATGCCCCGTGCCCCATGCCCCAAGCCCCATGCCCCATGCCCCATGCCCCGTGCCCCGTGCCCCGTGCCCCGTGCCCCATGCCCCATGCCCCATGCCAGTGCCCCGTTCCCCGTGCCCCGTGCCCCATGCCCCATGCCCGTGCCCCATGCCCCATGCCCCATGCCCCATGCCCCATGCCCCATTCCCCATGCCCCATGCCCCATGCCAGTGCCCCGTTCCCCATGCCCCGTGCCCCATGCCCCATGCCCCATGCCCATGCCCCATGCCCCATGCCCCATGCCCCATGCCCATGCCCCGTGCCCACTCCGCAACTCCATTCACTCCATCTCTTCTCTTCCCAACCTTCCTCCACCTCCTCCGCCCTTCGCCCTAATCCCTCCCCCTGCTGCCATGCATGCACCCCGCCCCCCCCTCCCCCTTCCCCTCTTTCTCTCTCCGCCGCCTCTCCTCTCCCCCGTCCCCCTGCCCACGTGTCCCCAGCGACCTGCACCACAACGCCATCAGCGGCCCCCTGCCCTCCTCCATTGGCGCGCTCTCCAAGCTCACTAGACTGTAAGTCATGCTGACTAGACGTTGAACCATGCTGACTAGACTGAGCGGTTCACAGTGAGTGGCTTGCAGGTGCTCCTGTCTCTGCAGCAAGTCGCCCATTATAGGTTCGCAAGCGCCTCCGGCTGACGTTGGAGAAACTTAGGTGACAGAAGGTTTCAGCAATTTCCAGGGAGCATTTGCGCTGAAAGGCGAGGGATGATGGAACCAGAACCAAGCACGGAGAAAGATTGTGCGGTTCGCGTAACGTGGCTGTTGCACTGTGCAACCGCGGAATTCTGGCGACCGAGGAATCGCATTTCGGTAACCGCGGACCGCGGAGCGGAATGTATTTCCTTGGAAATAGATGGACGGTTTGCACACCGCCCTTAGCATCGTCGCACTCACTTTAGGATTAGGGTTAGGTCGGTAGGGCAGCGGCGAACCATGCTAACACCCGTCTCACCCGTCTCACATGCACACCATGCATTGCTCTGCACCGCCAGTCACCACGGGCACACCATGCATTACTCTGCACCGCCAGTCACCACGGGCACACCATGCATTGCTCTGCACCGCCAGTCACCACGGGCACACCATGCATTGCTCTGCACCGCCAGTCACCACGGGCACACCATGCATTGCTCTGCACCGCCGCCAGTCACCACGGGCACACCATGCATTGCTCTGCACCGCCAGTCACCACGGGCACACCATGCATTGCTCTGCACCGCCAGTCACCACGGGCACACCATGCATTGCTCTGCTTCGCCAGTCACCACGGGCACACCATGCATTGCTCTGCACCGCCAGTCACCACGGGCACACCATGCGTTGCTCTGCACCGCCAGTCACCACGGGCACACCATGCATTGCTCTGCACCGCCAGTCACCACGGGCACACCATGCATTGCTCTGCACCGCCAGTCACCACGGGCACACCATGCATTGCTCTGCACCGCCAGTCACCACGGGCACACCATGCATTGCTCTGCACCGCCAGTCACCACGGGCACACCATGCATTGCTCTGCACCGCCAGTCACCACGGGCACACCATGCATTGCTCTGCACCGCCAGTCACCACGGGCACACCATGCATTGCTCTGCACCGCCAGTCCCCCCCCCCCCCCCACCACGGGCACACCATGCATTGCTCTGCACCGCCAGTCACCACGGGCACACCATGCATTGCTCTGCACCGCCAGTCACCACGGGCACACCATGCATTGCTCTGCACCGCCAGTCACCACGGGCACACCATGCATTGCTCTGCACCGCCAGTCACCACGGGCACACCATGCATTGCTCTGCACCGCCAGTCACCACGGGCACACCATGCATTGCTCTGCACCGCCAGTCACCACGGGCACACCATGCATTGCTCTGCACCGCCAGTCACCACGGGCACACCATGCATTGCTCTGCACCGCCAGTCACCACGGGCACACCATGCATTGCTCTGCACCGCCAGTCACCACGGGCACACCATGCATTGCTCTGCACCGCCAGTCACCACGGGCACACCATGCATTGCTCTGCACCGCCAGTCACCACGGGCACACCATGCATTGCTCTGCACCGCCAGTCACCACGGGCACACCATGCATTGCTCTGCACCGCCAGTCACCACGGGCACACCATGCATTGCTCTGCACCGCCAGTCACCACGGGCACACCATGCATTGCTCTGCACCGCCAGTCACCACGGGCACACCATGCATTGCTCTGCTTCGCCAGTCACCACGGGCACACCATGCATTGCTCTGCTTCCCATGCGTCAGTGCCTCGCGCCGTAACATACCCGCACCGCGCTCTCATCCCGCCCCTCTCTCCTTTCGCCCCTCCCACCAACCCCCTATCGCTTGCTCTTTTGTCTGCCCCAGATCTCCCCACCTCCCCCCCCTGATCTGCCCACCACCTCCCCCTCATCTGCCCACCTCCTCCCCCTGATCTGCTCACCACCTCCCCTTCAGCGACCTGCACAGCATTGACTTCACGCCCGCCCCTCTGCCGCCCTCCCTTGGAGCGCTCTCTGCACTCGCCTACCTGTGAGGCGCACTCCTCTTTCCCCGTGCTGCACTCCCTCTTTCCCCGTGCTGCACTCCCTCTTTCCCCTGCACCTCATTCCCTCACATCCCTCTCATCCCATGCGCCATACTGCCGTCCTCCCCACCTATGCTTTACACTTCCATCGTTTCTCAACCCTTGACATTAATTCTCTCGCCCACGTGCTTCCCTTGCCCCCCCCTCCAGCAACCTGGCGTACACACAGCTCAGCGGCCCTCTGCCGTCCTCCCTCGCCAACCTCTCCAACCTCAAGTTCCTGTACGCCCACCCATGCCATGCCATGCCATGCCATGCCATGTCGTGCAATGTCGTGCCATGCCATGCCATGCCATGCCATGCCATGTCGTGCCATGCCATGCCATGCCATGCCATGCCATGCCATGACATGCCATGCCATACCATGTCGTGCCATGCCATGCTGTGCCATGCCATGCCATGCCATGCCATGCTGTGCCATGCCATGCCATGCCATGCCATGCCATGCCATGCCATGCCATGCCATGCCATGCCATGCCATGGATGCCATGCCATGCCATGCCATGCCATGCCGTGCCATGCCATGCCATGCCATGCCGTGCCATGCCATGCCATGCCAATAGGCCCAACTCCTGGAGTGTTGTGAGGAGGGGCACATGCGCTGTGGAAGAATCCTTCCCCTCCCATCGCGCGTCTCCCCTCTCCCATCACGCATCCCCCCTCTCCTGCGCCACCTCACCACCGGCCCCCCTCTTCCCCGCCAAACATCCCTTCCCTCTGCATGCCTCCTCCCCACGCCACGCCATCGTACCCCCACCCTCCCCCAACCCCCCCCTCGTGTGGGCGTGGCAGCTCGCTGGACGGCAATGCCCTCACGGGGCCCTTCAACATCATCCCTCCCAACTCGTCCATCCATGTCATGTGAGTCCAAGCCATGTGAGTCCAAGCCATGTGAGTCCAAGCCATGTGAGTCCAAGCCATGTGAGTCCAAGCCATGTGGGTCCAAGCCATGTGAGTCCAAGCCATGTGGGTCCAAGCCATGTGAGTCCAAGCCATGTGAGTCCAAGCCATGTGAGTCCAATCCATGTGAGTCCAAGCCATGTGAGTCCAAGCCATGTGGGTCCAAGCCATGTGGGTCCAAGCCATGTGAGTCCAAGCCATGTGAGTCCAAGCCATGTGAGTCCAAGCCATGTGAGTCCAAGCCATGTGAGTCCAAACCATGTGAGTCCAAGCCATGTGACTCCAAGCCATGTGAGTCCAAGCCATGTGAGTCCAAGCCATGTGAGTCCAAGCCATGTGAGTCCAAGCCATGTGGGTCCAAGCCATGTGACTCCAAGCCATGTGACTCCAAGCCATGTGAGTCCAAGCCATGTGAGTCCAAGCCACGTGAGTCCAAGCCATGTGAGTCCAAGCCATGTGAGTCCAAGCCATGTGAGTCCAAGCCATGTGAGTCCAAGCCATGTGGGTCCAAGCCATGTGGGTCCAAGCCATGTGAGTCCAAGCCATGTGAGTCCAAGCCATGTGAGTCCAAGCCATGTGAGTCCAAGCCATGTGGGTCCAAGCCATGTGAGTCCAAGCCATGTGAGTCCAAGCCATGTGAGTCCAAGCCATGTGAGTCCCTTCACCTTCACCCGCCCTCTCTCCCTTTCACCTGCTCCCAGATCGCTGCCACCAGTGCTTCGCTTCCCTCCTCGCCTCCATGCCCTTTTCCCCCTCTCTCTGCCCCTTTCTCCTCCCGCTCCTCCTCCTCCTTCTCTCCCTACCTTATCCTTCCCCTCTCTCTCCCTCTCCCTCCCCTCCTCCCCCAGTCAAGCGGGGCACAACCAGCTGAGTGGCGGTGTGCCGGACGTGTCGCTGTACCCGCACCTGCGCCTGCTGTCGCTGCACGACAACAACTTCACCGGCCCCGTGCCCACCGCCGACCTCAACTCCACCACCACCGCTGTTGTGTGAGCCAACGCAGTCAAGTAGTCCACACAGTCAGCACAGGCAACACAGCCCACGCAGTCAACGCAGTCAACACAGTGAGCATCGAGAGTGCAGTCACCCGTGGCGTGTCAATCAAGCTTCTCGTGCTTCTTCCCCGCCCCTCCTATCACCCGCCGCCCACCAGTCTGGCGGGCAACCCGCTGTGCACGTCGGCGCTGTACTACCGCACGTGCAACGTGTGGCAGCAGCGCCGCTTGTGCTCCCTCCCCTGCGCGTCCCCCAACGAGAGCCCCAACCCTGTGGAGTTCCTGCGCGCACAGGTGTGCGTGTGCTCGGTGCCGGTGGTGGTGCGGCTCTTCCTGCAGAACCCCTCCTACACCGTGTTCAACAGCGAGTACGCCGACCAGTTCCAGCACGACACAGAGGCACAGCTCGCCCTGCAGGAGGGGCAGGTGGGTGGGCGCGCGGATGCACCTCCTTGCTCCTCCTTTCCTTCACTCTCTCCCCCCTTTCCCCCTGTCCTTCCATCCCCCGTGGCCCCCTGTCCTTCCATCCCCCGTGGCCCCCTGTCCTTCCATCCCCCGTGGCCCCCTGTCCTTCCATCCCCCGTGGCCCCCTGTCCTTCCATCCCCCGTGGCCCCCTGTCCTTCCATCCCCCGTGGCCCCCTGTCCTTCCATCCCCCGTGGCCCCCTGTCCTTCCATCCCCCGTGGCCCCCTGTCCTTCCATCCCCCGTGGCCCCCTGTCCTTCCATCCCCCGTGGCCCCCTGTCCTTCCATCCCCCGTGCCCCCCTGTCCTTCCATCGTCCGCACCATGCTCGTCCATACCAGTGCTTGTGCTCCCCCTCGTCGCTAGCGTGCACCATGGCGGGGAGTGCTGACGTGAGACGGGTGGCACGGAAGAGAGTGCGGCCTGCCACCGTGCGCTCCCTGCTCCACACCACCTCACAATCACAGCGTCTCACAAAAGCAGCATCTCACAATCACAGCATCTCACAATCACAGCACCTCACAATCACAGCACCTCACAATCACAGCACCTCACAATCACAGCATCTCACAATCACAGCATCTCACAATCACAGCACCTCACAATCACAGCACCTCACAATCACAGCATCTCACAATCACAGCACCTCACAATCACAGCATCTCACAATCACAGCACCTCACAATCACAGCACCTCACAATCACAGCACCTCACAATCACAGCATCTCACAATCACAGCACCTCACAATCACAGCACCTCACAATCACAGCACCTCACAATCACAGCATCTCACAATCACAGCACCTCACAATCACAGCATCTCACAATCACAGCATCTCACAATCACAGCACTTCACAATCACAGCATCTCACAATCACAGCACCTCACAATCACAGCACCTCACAATCACAGCATCTCACAATCACAGCACCTCACAATCACAGCATCTCACAATCACAGCCACCCACGCAATACATGCTGCCCATTCGATGCCTGCCACCCACTCAACCACGACCCTGTCTGCGTGTCCATGTGTGTGCGTGTCCATGTGTGTGCGTGTCCATGTGTGTGCGTGTCCATGTGTCTGCGTGTCCATGTGTCTGCGTGTCCATGTGTCTGCGTGTCCATGTGTCTGCGTGTCCATGTGTCTGCGTGTCCATGTGTGTGCGGGCAGGTGTGGCTGGACAACGTGAGTCAGCGCGAGGACAACTTCGAGGTCGCCACTCTGCGCATCTACCCTGCCAAGGTCACCCACGCGTGCCCAGGAGGGACTAGGCAGGCTCGGGAGAGCGAAGGCAGGCTCGGAAGAGAGAATTCAGGCTCTGGAGAGTAGGCGGGCTCGGGAGAGAGTAGGGAGACTCGGGAGAGAGTAGCCAGGCTCGGGAGAGAGAAGGCAGGCTCGGGAGAGAGTAGGCAGGCTCGGGAGAGTAGGCAGGCTCGGGAGAGAGTAGGCAGGCTCGGGAGAGAGTAGGCAGGCTCAGGAGAGAGTAGGCAGGCTCGGGAGAGAGCAGGCAGGATTGAGAGAGGTTAGAAAACTGTGGCAGGGCAAGGAGAGGTTCGTCAACCGCTTTCACTACACTGCATGCACCTCTCTCTATCTTCCCCTACCTTTGCACTCCCCGTCCTAATCACCATCGCTCACATCCCCACCTCTCTTCCTTCACCCTTAAATCCGCTCTCCCTCCGCCTCCCCTCGCCTCTCCCCCCCAGGCAGAAGCCCCCTGGGCGGAGGAGCAGCGAGCGCAGCTGTATGCCGCGTTGGGGCGGCTCACCCGCCTCAGTGCCATCTTTGGGGGAGTCACGTTCGGTGAGTGGCAGGCTTGGGAGTCACGTTCGGTGGGATGGGAGAGGGGAGGAATGCGGCGAGGAGCGTTTTCTTGCCGGGATCAACTGCCCGTGGTAATGCTGTCTGTGCACTTGGCTTGGCAGCGAGTCACCCCCTGACCACCCCCTGGCACGCCGCTGAATTCACCCGCGCCCACACGCTCGTTGTGCTCTTCCTCCACTCCATCTCTCTCTCCCACCACTTGCCCTTACCGTCTCACCCTTCCCTTCCCTTCTCCCCCTTTCTGTCCGCAACCACCACCCCTACCCCATCCGCCATCCTCTGCTGTCGTCCCCCCATTCCCCCAGACGGCCCGCCCCCACCACCAGTGGCCAGCCCGCCACCTCCACCTCTAAATGTGGCGGTCGCCACTCAGAGCAGTACGCCGTGCTCTCCTCCCCACCTGCCATCGCTGCGCCTCCCTCCCTACCTGCTCCCTGCGCACTGCCCACTCCTCCCCCCGCACACTGCTTCCCCCCCCCGCACACCGCTTCAACCCCCCCCACACTGCTTCCCCCCCTGCACACCGCTTCCTCCCCCTGCACACCGTTTCCTCTCCCTCCTCGGTTTCCCTCTTAGCAGTGCTCTTCCGCGCTGTGCCATTCTGCGCTGCACCATTCTGCACTGCTCACATTGTAGAATGATCCCACGTGCCGCACACTGCTTCTGCTGCCCCATTCCCCTGCCTCAGCGCCATTCCCCTGCCTCAGCGCCATTCCCCTGCCTCAGCGCCATTCCCCTGCCTCAGCGCCATTCCCCTGCCTCAGCGCCATTCCCCTGCCTCAGCGCCATTCCCCTGCCTCAGCGCCATTCCCCTGCCTCAGCGCCATTCCCCTGCCTCAGCGCCATTCCCCTGCCTCAGCGCCATTCCCCTGCCTCAGCGCCATTCCCCTGCCTCAGCGCCATTCCCCTGCCTCAGCGCCATTCCCCTGCCTCAGCGCCATTCCCCTGCCTCAGCGCCATTCCCCTGCCTCAGCGCCATTCCCCTGCCTCAGCGCCATTCCCCTGCCTCAGCGCCATTCCCCTGCCTCAGCGCCATTCCCCTGCCTCAGCGCCATTCCCCTGCCTCAGCGCCATTCCCCTGCCTCAGCGCCATTCCCCTGCCTCAGCACCGTTCTCATTCTCCCACACGCTATGTTCGCCCCCCTCCCCCTGTGTGCCCCCCAGAGAGCTCGTTCCCGGTGTGGGCCATCGTGGTGACGGCGGTGGGCGTGCTGTGCTTCGCCGCGTCCGTGCTGCTGCTGCTGCTCTGGCTGCGCCATCAGAGGCGACGACAGATGCTCAGTGAGTGGCGGGCGGATGCTCAGTGAAGGGATAGCTCCAGTTCGCTAACCACCCGCTGTGCCCTTCAATCGCCCCATTCACCCACCCGCTATGCCCTTCAATCGCCCCATTCACCCACCTGCTGTGCCCTTCAATCGCCCCATTCACCCACCTGCTGTGCCCTTCAATCGCCCCATTCACCCACCTGCTGTGCCCTTCACTCGCCCCATTCACCCACCTGCTGTGCCCTTCAATCGCCCCATTCACCCACCTGCTGTGCCCTTCACTCGCCCCATTCACCCACCTGCTGTGCCCTTCACTCGCCCCATTCACCCACCTGCTGTGCCCTTCAATCGCCCCATTCACCCACCTGCTGTGCCCTTCACTCGCCCCATTCACCCACCTGCTGTGCCCTTCAATCGCCCCATTCACCCACCCGCTGTGCCCTTCAATCGCCCCATTCACCCACCTGCTGTGCCCTTCACTCGCCCCATTCACCCACCTGCTGTGCCCTTCACTCGCCCCATTCACCCACCTGCTGTGCCCTTCAATCGCCCCATTCACCCACCTGCTGTGCCCTTCACTCGCCCCATTCACCCACCTGCTGTGCCCTTCAATCGCCCCATTCACCCACCCGCTGTGCCCTTCAATCGCCCCATTCACCCACCTGCTGTGCCCTTCAATCGCCCCATTCACCCACCCGCTGTGCCCTTCAATCGCCCCATTCACCCACCTGCTGTGCCCTTCAATCGCCCCATTCACCCACCCGCTGTGCCCTTCAATCGCCCCATTCACCCACCTGCTGTGCCCTTCACTCGCCCCATTCACCCACCTGCTGTGCCCTTCAATCGCCCCATTCACCCACCCGCTGTGCCCTTCACTCGCCCCATTCACCCACCTGCTGTGCCCTTCAATCGCCCCATTCACCCACCTGCTGTGCCCTTCACTCGCCCCATTCACCCACCTGCTGTGCCCTTCAATCGCCCCATTCACCCACCTGCTGTGCCCTTCACTCGCCCCATTCACCCACCTGCTGTGCCCTTCACTCGCCCCATTCACCCACCTGCTGTGCCCTTCAATCGCCCCATTCACCCACCTGCTGTGCCCTTCACTCGCCCCATTCACCCACCTGCTGTGCCCTTCAATCGCCCCATTCACCCACCCGCTGTGCCCTTCAATCGCCCCATTCACCCACCTGCTGTGCCCTTCAATCGCCCCATTCACCCACCCGCTGTGCCCTTCAATCGCCCCATTCACCCACCTGCTGTGCCCTTCAATCGCCCCATTCACCCACCCGCTGTGCCCTTCAATCGCCCCATTCACCCACCTGCTGTGCCCTTCACTCGCCCCATTCACCCACCTGCTGTGCCCTTCAATCGCCCCATTCACCCACCCGCTGTGCCCTTCAATCGCCCCATTCACCCACCTGCTGTGCCCTTCAATCGCCCCATTCACCCACCCGCTGTGCCCTTCAATCGCCCCATTCACCCACCTGCTGTGCCCTTCACTCGCCCCATTCACCCACCTGCTGTGCCCTTCACTCGCCCCATTCACCCACCTGCTGTGCCCTTCACTCGCCCCATTCACCCACCTGCTGTGCCCTTCAATCGCCCCATTCACCCACCCGCTATGCCCTTCAATCGCCCCATTCACCCACCCGCTATGCCCTTCAATCGCCCCATTCACCCACCCGCTGTGCCCTTCACTCGCCCCATTCACCCACCCGCTGTGCCCTTCACTCGCCCCATTCACCCACCCGCTGTGCCCTTCACTCGCCCCATTCACCCACCTGCTGTGCCCTTCACTCGCCCCATTCACCCACCTGCTGTGCCCTTCACTCGCCCCATTCACCCACCTGCTGTGCCCTTCACTCGCCCCATTCACCCACCTGCTGTGCCCTTCACTCGCCCCATTCACCCACCTGCTGTGCCCTTCAATCGCCCCATTCACCCACCCGCTGTGCCCTTCAATCGCCCCATTCACCCACCTGCTGTGCCCTTCACTCGCCCCATTCACCCACCTGCTGTGCCCTTCACTCGCCCCATTCACCCACCTGCTGTGCCCTTCACTCGCCCCATTCACCCACCTGCTGTGCCCTTCACTCGCCCCATTCACCCACCCGCTGTGCCCTTCAATCGCCCCATTCACCCACCTGCTGTGCCCTTCAATCGCCCCATTCACCCACCCGCTATGCCCTTCAATCGCCCCATTCACCCACCCGCTGTGCCCTTCAATCGCCCCATTCACCCACCCGCTGTGCCCTTCAATCGCCCCATTCACCCACCTGCTGTGCCCTTTAATCGCCCCATTCACCCACCCGCTATGCCCTTCAATCGCCCCATTCACCCACCCGCTATGCCCTTCAATCGCCCCATTCACCCACCCGCTGTGCCCTTCAATCGCCCCATTCACCCACCTGCTGTGCCCTTCAATCGCCCCATTCACCCACCCGCTATGCCCTTCAATCGCCCCATTCACCCACCCGCTATGCCCTTCAATCGCCCCATTCACCCACCCGCTGTGCCCTTCAATCGCCCCATTCACCCACCTCCTGGCTGCTCTCTCTCGCCCCGTTGACCACGGATTGCCCTCACGCCCCTCACGGCTGCTGCCCCCAGGGCCCACCAAGTCGAAGCTGACGCTGCGGCTGCAGGAGCACTTTGTGCGCCCCATCGCCCTGGCGGAGGTGGAGGCCGCCACCAACGCCTTTGCGGACGACCGACTGCTGGGCGTGGGCGGGTACGGGTCCGTGTACCGCGGGCACGGGCCCAACGGCGAGCAGTGGGCCGTCAAGCGCGCGCAGGTCACCACCGTGCAGTCCATGCACGTGTTCCAGAACGAGGTGCGTGCATCCATGCACGTGTTCCAGAACGAGGTGCGTGCATCCATGCACGTGTTCCAGAACGAGGTGCGTGCATCCATGCACGTGTTCCAGAACGAGGTGCGTGCATCCATGCACGTGTTCCAGAACGAGGTGCGTGCATCCATGCACGTGGGCGTATGAGGCTTAAGTGTGGATGAGGTGTGAGGGAGGATGAGGCATGTGCGGGTTTCTGCAATGAGTGCATGTGGGCGTGACCTATCACCCACGAGCCACCGCAACCCCATGCGCCTCAATGCCTTGCCTTGCCCCTCCACCCCCTGGCAGGTGGGCGTGATCTCGGGCATGCGCCATCGCAATCCAATCTGCCTGCACACTTGGCCCTCAACAAGACTCAAATGCGGCCCAACCCCCCCCCCCCTCCCCGCCGTCCCCCCCGCCATGCATGCGGTGGCAGGTGGACGTGATCTCGGCGATGAGCCACCGCAACCTGATAGCCTTACTGGGGTACTGCGAGGACAAGGGCGAGCAGATCCTCGTCTACGAGTTCGCCGCCAACGGCACGCTCAGCGCACTGCTCAGACCGCCTGCAGGTAACGTGTGCGTGCATGCATGGTTGCGTGCATGCATGGTTGCGTGCATACATGGGTGCCTGCATGTATGGGTGCGTGCATGCATGGTTGTGTGCATACATGCATGTGTGCATACATGCATGTGTGTATGCATGCATGTGTGCATACATGCATGTGTGCATACATGCATGTGTGTATGCATGCTTGTGCAAGCCCAACCCCCCTTGACGCTGCCCCAGTGCGTGGAGATCGCTCTGGGAGCGGCGCAGAGGCTGTTCTACCGGCACTCCTGTCACACTCTTTCAATTCAACCCCTCCTCTGTTCCCTCCTCCCCTTCTCGCCCCGCCAGACAAGCCCACCCCGCCCTTGACGCTGCAGCAGCGCGTGGAGATCGCTCTGGGCGCGGCGCAGGGGCTGTTCTACCTGCACTCGTTCGCGCGCCCGCCTGTCATCCACCGCGACGTCAAGTCGGGCAACATCCTGCTGGACGCCGACATGCAGGTGCGTGGGTGGGGTGGGTGTGAGGTGAGGTGCAGGGGGCGCGGGTGGGGTGGGTGTGAAGTGACGCGCAGGGGGGTGCCACTAGAAGGGGCGCGGTGGGAGTGCAGCAGGGAAGGTGGGAGTGCAGCAGGGAAGGTGGGAGTGCAGCAGGGAAGGTGCGATTGTGTTGCGGATGGTTGTGGTCTATCGTGCTGCGCACAAGGGAGGTTGCACGAGGAAGGTTGCACGAGGAAGGCTGTACCCCTCCGAACGGCGCCATGCTTATTCCGACCTGCCCCCCCCGTGCGTGCAGGCGAAGGTGGCGGACTTCGGGCTGCTCAAGGCGTCCAAGGGCGAGGGCGTGGCGCACAGCACGCAGGTGGCGGGCACACCGGGGTACCTGGACCCCGAGTACTACTCCGCCTTCAAGGTCACCGCCAAGAGCGACGTCTACAGGTGCGCCGGTGCTGACAGATGGGTGCTGACAGATGGGTGCTGACAGATGGGTGCTGACAGATGGGTGCTGACAGCTGGGTGCTGATAGATGGGTGCTGACGTGGCCTGAGACACTCCCACACCCCATGCTCTCACACCACTCTTCCACACCCCATGCTCTCACACCACTCTTCCACACCCCATGCTCTCACACCACGCTTCGACATCCCATGCTCTCAGGGCGCTTCCAAAGTGCCACTTGAGGATTCCGGCTTAGGCTGGGTATCGTTTTGCATAACTGAAACGGCACACTCGCGTTCAGTCCCAGTAACGAAACCCAGACTCTGAAAATTCGGGCATTTTGTCAGAAGTGCACAACTTTCGTGTGCTGTGGTGTACAAACTTGCAAATTCGCCTGGGGATGTGTGCTTTTCCGAAATGGTGAACGAGGCATGTTCGAATCCAGTCCCAGAATTTTGGTCTCGTCACAATGGACATCCGCTCACCGTTTCATTTCAGGTGTATGAATTGGCCGTGTATAAAGCATTTTTGTTATGGGATTCGTTACTCATAAAGGAACCCTAGGTTACTTTGAAGGCGCCCTCACAGCACTCTTCCACGACCCATGCTGTCCTCTCACACGCCTCGCGTCCCCCCCTTCCCCCCGTCAGCTTCGGCGTGGTGCTGCTGGAGATCATCACGGGGCTGCCGCCCATCTTTGAGAGCCTCGACTCCACCGAGTGCACGGACGGCGAGAGGCAGATGACCAGCCTCGCGCGCTGGGTGAGAAGAGAACGAGGGAGGGAAGGAGGAGGAGTTGGGGCTTTTGTGTTAGAATGAGGGTTGCTATGGCCACAACAGGGGTAGACGAGGCAAGGGAGGATGGGTGAGGGAGGAACTTGTCACTTGCACCCTGTTGATGCTGCCAATGTCATGGGCAGTTGTCAGTGCATGTTGTTGAGTGACCCGCTGGGGTTGCCCTTGAGATCCTCGGGGAAGGGCCACAGGTGCAGAGCCTGGGGGGCTATGGGCGCACTTACCCGCTATTCAACAAGCCCTTTTAACCCAGTGGTCAGTGACTGTGTTTCTGACATGGTATCAGAGCCAAAGGTCTTGGGTTCAACTCCCAGTGCTAGCGCTGCAAAGGCGCTTGTGTCTTCCACCTATCCCAGCGGGGGGGGGGGTGTTGAGTGACCCGCTGGGGTCGCCCTTGAGATCCTCGGGGAAGGGCCACAGGTGCAGAGCCTGGGGGGCTATGGGCGCACTTACCCGCTATTCAACAAGCCATTTTAACCCAGTGGTTAGTGACTGGGTTTCTGACACATGTGTGCCCATCGCCACTCGTTGCTCCATGCTCCCTTCCCATGCTGCCCATGCCCCTCCTTCCACCTCCCTGTCAACCTCTGCTCTCCCCCTCCCTCTCCCCTCGCTTGCTTGCACACACACCCCGGTCCACCAACAAGCGGACCCGCCTGCCTGCCTGCCTGCCTGCCTGACTTTCAACCTCCTCTCAACCAACTCCACACCTCCGTCTCCCCCTTCCCCTGCCCCTTAACCGCCCTACTCCTCTGCCCCCATGCCACTCTGCCCCCCTCCCCCCCCCTGCCATTATGCTCCGCTGCCCCACTGCCCCCCCTGCGCAGTGTGCGCCGTACGTGCAGACGGGCAACGTGGCCAAGATAGTGGACCCGCGACTAGGCGCGGACTACCCAGTGGACGTGGTGAAGGGGCTGGCGGACGTGGCCATGGCGTGCGTGCAGCGCCACAGCAAGAACCGCCCCGACACCAGCGAGGTAGTGCGGCGCCTGGGGGACATTCTCTCGAGGATGATGGGTGATGAGAATGTGGCGGCGCTGGGGCATCTGCGGTCGCAGAGCTCGAATGTGGGAGCCATTGCCATTCCGGAGGATGGGGAGGTAGACCCGAATATTGCGCTTGTGCAGGGCATGGAGGGGCCTTACGACGAAAGCACTGCAGCTATGTCGCAGGTTATTCCTCGTTGAATAGCATCGTGTTTGGGAGCGAATAGCATGTTCAACTTCTTCAAAGCAGCAACTTGGGCTGCATTGTTGTATTATTCTTGTCTAATAATTGCTGACGAGAAATGTTCTCGTATTATGTCAGATGCCCATTCGTCTCAAATGTTGCTACCACTTCGAATGTCATTGTTGGAAATTTACTTAATCGAGTAACCTCGTGAAAAGATTGCGCTTTCCCTCCTCACTGACAGCGCCTCGTTGCCTGCTCTGCCATGTCTGACGAGAAGCCTCCAACAGTTGGGCTCGGCCCGCCACCAAATCTGGGCTGCTGATAGCCTGCTATTGCGGTGGAGCATGGTACAGCATGGTATTCCGGTGGCACGCTATGGTGCCATTGTCACACGGCGGGTGTGTGACCCTCTCCAAGTCAACCCTCACGACACCAGCAGACAGGTCGGGCCACGGGATGAAACGAGCTCTGGTTTGGTTTGGACGTGGCTGACAAGCATTAGCGAGTGAGCACCACCCTGCATACGCGCTGCTGGAGGCAGTGAGGCAAGGAGCACGAGGTGAGCGCAGAGGTGTTGCGAGATGTCCGACGAGTAGCGCCTCTCCTTACTCATCGCGTTCGCTGATTTGATCAGTTATTGCGTGGCTCATCTAGGTAGTGCGTAGCAGTTCGTTAGTTCAGCTAGTTTATTTGGCGGATTCGCTCAGTCGCCTCGTCACAGCGTCATTGTCCTTCATTTGCGCGATCTGCGCGCGGCAGCGGGAAATGAAGCACCCCTGATCGCGACGCCCAATGCAGTCGCTATTCCCTAGTCCGTTACTGGCATATCCGCTACTCGTTACCCCGTAGCCGTGCGCAGAACGAACCTGCTGTTTTTTCCGCCACCAGCAGAACCGGGACACCGATTACTGCCCGGGGGATGCGGCGCGTTTCGCGGAGATCGCGGGCCAGGCTTCCGGTGCGCCTGGTGCTGGCGGCGGGACTGTTGGCGGCGGCGACGGTCGGCTGCCTCGCGCTGCGGCCGGTGACGGCGGGCGCGCTCAGCGGCGCGTGGGCGGCGGCGAACAGCTCGGGCAACGACGACGCGGCCCTCCTGTACGCGGTGAGCGGCGAGCGGCGAGCGGGGGGGAGCAAGGTGGGCGGCGAGGGGCGAGCGGGGGGGAGCAAGGTGAGCGGCGAGGAGGGGGGGGGGGGGGAAGGTGCGCCTCTCGTGTGCAATGTAAGCACCCTAGCCTTGGGAACCTCGGCGCAGGCGGCTTGCCGTAGGCGGCTGTACGGGCCAGCGGGACGAAGCTGCCAAGGTAGCATCAACGCCCTCCCTCTCTCCCTCGCCTTCCGCTTCCTCTCCTCGCTTTCTGCCTCTTCCTCACAACCCCTTGTCCCCCCAACCCTCCTCCCCCGCCCACCCTCCCTTTCCCCGACCTCTTCCGCCCCCGCTCCCCCCGCCCAGCAATGGAAGCGCGCTTACCGCCTGGGCGCGTCGCTCGTCGATCTGCCCGCCGCCCTCTCGCTGCCCGCGGGCGTGCCCCCCGCCCCGCACCTGGAGGACTGCAGCGCGCGCACCGCCGCACGACAGGCGCTGGAGAGGCGCGGGCGCAAGGGGGAGTCGCCCGCATGGGCTATAGGGCGGCTGCCGCAACCCCCGTGGGTGAGAGGGGTGGGAGAGTGGGTGAGAGAAGGGTGAGACAGAGGGGGGAGAGAGGGGTGAGGCACGAGCGGGGTGTGAGGTGGGAGAGGGGTGGGAGATAGGTGTGAGAGGGGCGGTAGAGGGGTGGGAGAGAGGTGGGAGAGGGGTGGGAGAGGGTTGAGTGGGATGAGAGTGGCAAGGGCTTTCAAGCAAGGCTTTAGCACAGCCACCAGCCTCCCTGCCTATCTGCTCTCGGCTGTCCTCCACGTCTCCCCGTCTCCCCGTCTCCCCGTCTCCCCGTCTTCCTCCCCTCCCTCCCCGCATCCACCCACCCCCACTCCCCCCTCCTCCCCCCTCCCCGCCACCCCTTTCCCTCCCACGTGCGCGGGTTGGAGGCAGTCAGCCTGGGGGCCTTTGCTGATTCCCTACACACACTTCCCCCCCCCACTCCCCTCTCGGTTTCCAGGTACGCGGGTCGGAGGCGGGCAGTCTGGGCGGCACGCGGGCGGCACAGAGGGACCTGTGGGAGCACCAGTTCCCGCCGCACCGCTGCCGGGGGCGCCGCCTGCTGCTCGTGCAGTGGCTGGACATGACGTGGCACGGGCTGGGCTCGCAGCTCCACGTCATCAGTGAGCACCCCTGCCTGCGCTCGCTCCTCCTCCCCCCCTCCTCCCCCCCTCCTTGCTCCTCCTCACTCGCATCTCCTCCTCTCCTCGTCTCTTCTCATCGCATCTCCTTTCTCGCTTACCAGCTCGAGCTTTGCAGTGCCGTGCTGCATGCCGCTCCTCGCTCCTCCCTCTCCCACTGCCTTCTTTCTCCACCTTTTCTTCATCCTCTTCGTCTCACCTCTCGCTTCTTCCTACCCCTCTCTGTTCTCGTGCCCCTCCCCTCGCCTCCCCTCCCCTCGCCTCCCCTCGCCCCCCCTCGCCTCTGCTCGCCTCCCCTCGCCTCCCCTCGCCTCCCCTCGCCTCCCCTCGCCTTCCCTCGCCTCCCCTCGCCCCCCCTCTTCTTCCCTCGCCTCCCCTCGCCCCCCCTCGCCTCCCGTCGCCTCCCGTCGCCTCCCGTCGCCTCCCCTCGCCCCCCCTCGCCCCCCTCGCCTCCCCTCGCCCCCCCTCGCCTCCCCTCGCCTCCCCTCGCCTCCCTTCGCCTCCCCTTGCCGCCCACAGGTTCCATTCTGAGCGTGGCGATGCTCTTCAACCGCACGCTCGTCATCGTTCCGGGGACCTTCCCGCAGGCAAACCACCGCGAGTGCAAGTCAGGGGGCAAGCATGCATCGCTCGACTGCTACTTCTTCCCCATCGCCTCCATCCACTGCCAGCGCATTGCCATGAACGCTTATAACGAGTACAAGGAGCTGCGGGGGCTGGTGGGGCGCATGCCGATGGAGCGGGCGGAGTTTGAGGCGGGGCGGTCGCCGTGGGGCACGTGGGTGCAGCAGCAGCAGAGGCGCGTCAACGCCACCCGCGCCAGGGCTGCTGGTGAGGGGGGCGCTGGTGGCGAGGGGGGGTTAGCGGATGCTGTGATCCCACAGAGCGGTGGGCACAGGCGTATCGACCAGGAGGCAATTGAAGGGCAGGGGGAGGCGGGGAGCGAGGCGGAGCGCGGGGCGGTGCAGTGGTGCGGGTACGAGGCGGGGGTGACCCTGGAGTCGGACGCGCTGGTGGTGTTCGGGTGCAGCCCGCTGCTGCCGCGCTGGGCGGGCGGCAAGTACCTCAAGCACCTCCGAGGCGCCGCCGCACGGTGAGCACACGACGGAGGATGGGTGCGCGTGCCTGGGGGTGCTTGCCTTGTGCTGGGCAGTGCTGTCCGCACGTCGCCTGCCAGCCATCACCGCCATGCTTGCAGCTGTGTGTGCACGCCTTCCACCGCCAAGCCCCTGCTTCCTTGTCAACCCTGTGCACCATTTCTTCTTCTTTTCTCTTCTCTCTCCTTGTGCTGCCTCCGTTGTCTCCCTTTTCCCCCGCCCCTTTTTTCCCCCTTCTCCCTCTCTATGCTGCCCCTCTTTCCCCCCTCCGTGCCTCTCTCTCCCCCTCTCCCCCTGGCGTGCCCATCTCTCCCCCCATGGCGGCAGGCTGTGGGGCGGGGCGTACAGGGAGCGCACGGTGACCAACGAGGTGAGTGGCCAGCTGGTGAGCAGCAGCGCGCTGGTGAGGGTGCAGTGGTGGCGCGCGCAGTCGCTGCGCTTCATGCTGCGCTGGCCCACGCGCTACCTCTGCCACATCATCAACCGCGAGCGCCACCAGGTGTACGGCAGGCAGGTGGCGCACAGCATGGCGGCAGCCATGGCGCAGCAGCAGCAGGTGGTGAGCCGGGCGGCGCATCTGGCTGCCAGTCTGGGCCAGGACCTGCAGGCCCTCCTCGTGCCACAGGCGCACGGCAAATGGGTGGGCGGCGACGGCCACGCCTCTAGCATGCAGCTGCTGATGGCGGTTGGAGGTAGGGGGAGCCCAGGTGATGCGCTGCAAGGAGGATCGCAAGTAGGCTCATCGCACGGCCCTGGTGCTGTTGCTGGTGGTGGAGGTGGAGGGGGCGAGGGTGGGGTGGGCGGCGAGGTGTACATGCCGCGGCCCATTGTGAGTGTGCACGTGCGGCAGGGCGACAAGGCGTTTGAGATGCGCGTCTTCTCCTTCCCCGCCTTCCTCTTCATGGCCAACCGCATCAGACGCCTCGACCCCGCGCTGCACAACGTGTGGCTCAGCACCGAGATGCAGGTGAGATCTGAGGCAGGTGGGACCGATGTAGGTGAGCAAAGAGATGGAGGTGGGGGGCACAGCACGGAGATGGGGGGGGGCACAGCACGGAGATGCGGGGGGGCACAGCACGGAGATGCGGGGGGGCAGGCTATGAATTCCACCGTGTCCCGGTGCATGTGTGTCAAACCACAGCGGCTGCCTTCGCTGTGCTTGCTAACTGCAGCTCTTGATTTGCAGTTTTCCAAATGAGGCACCTGCCGTGTGTCGCAGACATCAGCCCTGCTATTCCCCCTTTCCTCCTCTTGTGACTCCTCTGCACTCTGCCGCCCGTGCAGAGCGTGGTGAGGCGCTCGTCGCGCTTTGGCAACTGGAACTTCTTCTACTCCAAGCTGCCGCGCCAGGAGGGCAAGGAGACCATGTCAAACTACCTCTGGCACACCGGCATGGCTCGCGTGGTGGGGGCCAGCTTTGCCAACCTGCTGCTTTCCTCGGAGTGTGATTACTTTGTGGGAGTCCTGGCTTCAAACTGGAACCGGCTTATCAACGAGCTCAGATTAACCAATGGGAGGTTGTTTGCAAGCTATATCTCATTGAATAATGATGAATGGTAGGTGTAGCCATTTTTGTCTCGTTTCAGGGCCCAAAATTGGTTTTAGGCCACACTTAGGAATCAGGGTACAAAAAACTTGTTGGAAATACCCCGAGGACTTGAGCGTTTCTGAAGTGTAACACTACACTCGAGGAAAGTCTTATCGAGTACGCGAGTCAAAGAAGGTTACACGAGGAGGTTGGACGAAAGAATACGAAAGGACAAAGGGACTTGAAGG